CAGCAAATGCATGAGAGTTGAGGAGCTGCAAACACTCATCTTCCTCTAGGCCCTCTAATTTAACTATTTCATTCTTCTTTTTAATTACCTTTGCGAACATCAGTGCAACTGCGTCCGTTCGAGTTGTTACCATAATCTTACTACCAAAACCCCCAGAAGATAAAGGGGCGAGCACATCCTCCCATTTGCTTTTATCCTTCTCCTCATCCTCCTCCCAAATATCATCCAGCACAAGTAAGAACTTTTTGGACATCACCTCCTCCTCGAGACGCCTTTGAAGTGCATCAAGTGTGTCACAACGAGGCCTCTCCATCTTAAGAGATTGCAACATATCTGCAATGACTTTCTTCACATCAAAGTTGTTGGAAACACAAACCCACATTTTAAGACCAAATTCCTTCGTAATTTCATCATTATAAACATGTTGTAAGAGAGTTGTCTTCCCCATACCACCATGGCCCACTATAGATAGAAGAGAAATGTTTCTGTACAAATCAGTTCCCCGATGCTCATTTGATGGATTCCTCAGCCACTCCATAACAACCTCCTTATCCTTGCCACGCCCAATGAGATCATTTTTAGGCAAATATCCTGTTTCACGTGTTTTGTAGAATTGAACCTCCTGCTCCTTGTATTCCTGCTTCGCGCTGTCTATAAGATGAAGGAAAGTAGTAACATCAGCCGAAACTTTATCAAGTTTCTGCACAGCCTCCTCCAGTCGTTTCAAGTTGGGATCCATTTTGAGAAGTCGTTCTCCAATTTTGAAAATTTTACGAGGAATTTCAAATATGAAGCTCGTGGCCTTTCGTTTCTGGTCAAATTAATTAGAAATAGATTATCTAATAAATAAATAAGTAAATATATTCGTGAGCAGAATCAAATAGGAAGCACACGGCGGCCGAACGCACCTTTGTTTCTTCAGTGTTTTTGATGAGCTGTTGTTTATGCTTCATGTACTCAAACTCATCGAGCACATCATTTGCCTCATCAATAGCATCTCGCAGCTTCCATATCCATTTGTTGAGAGCCGGGTTCTGATCGCTGATTTGTGCTTGATTAGCGGCAAAGACGACGGCTTGGATCTTGGGGTGGTTCTCTCGCAGCCTTTCCAGCTCGTTCTTCATGCCCGTCTGCCATCCGACTTGATCTTCCAGGTAATCAGAGCAAGCGTTGATTATCTTCTCCATGATTGGACCAACAAACCATTCCGCCATGGCACCGATGATCGAGGTAGAGAGAGCAGAACAACTGAACAGGGGAGAAACAGAGCTCGGAAGAGAAAGAACTCGACCTGCAGCCTAAGTTAAGTAAACGGAGATTATTTGTAGTCGGTAAGTTGACTGACTTTGATGGGAACACGAAGCTGCCTATCAGATGGAGATTAGATTATTATGTATTTCCTGTAATTTGTTACGTAAGGAATTTAATAATTAGTTGTTTGTTTCTCATATCTATTATGATATTCTATCATTAGAAAATGACTTTTAAATGTTGGTAGATTTTGATATAATAGTTTATTTTACAAAAAAATATATTATGAGTAAATTAAATTTGGTATGAGTAAATTTTTTTTAAGAACATCTTAGTTGTAATATTTGTCAGAATTATAATATATATGTATGATTTAGTTGTTAAAAAATAAAAATTTTTGGAGGACTGAAAATTTTTTAAAATCCTCCAAGCATATAATTTGACAATTTAGATTAATTAACTAGGCTGTTTAGTATTTATTGACCTGAGCAAATATATAATTGATGAATAATTTGATGATTGTTTATACAATATTTATTTATTTATATAATTAAATTAATTTGAACAAAAATTTTAAAAATTTGTCATATGATAAAGAGTTTGAAGCTTCTTTTTTAAAAATTTGTCATATGATAAAAATGTTTTATTTTATTTAAAAAATTGCTATATAAATCTTTTATCTCAATCGTTCCTTTCAAATCCGACAGCCTAACGGGGAGGTCAATAGCACAAAGGAATACCAACTGGAAATGATAAAATATGGCGTCGAATAAACAATAAAACTTAACGTTATTATTTTAAATTTTATTAAGATTTGAAATTTGGGTAATTTGATATAAAAATAAATGAATGACTTTGAACATTATAGTTATTATCTTGTTTTAATTCATTTATAGCACTAAGACTTAATCAATAATAAAATGAATAAAATGATCCTAACTTGAGGTAACCCATTGTTTATTTGTGTTTGGCTCCTTCAAAAATTTGTTCATTAGAGTTGAGCTCATTGAGCTCATGTTCAAAAACATTTGTGAATATATGTTCCAATTCAATGTTTGTTCCAAAACAAAAACCCAACATAAACAAGAGTAGTTGAAACAAAAACTCTACTTAAATCATGAAAATTCACAAGGACAAGAGAATATTGAACAATATATTTGAATCACATGACTAGAACAAGATAAGTAAGTCAAAAACTAAACCATTTAAAACCCCTCATGCAAATTAATTTAAACACATAAGATTAATGAAATCATCTTAATGAAATTCAATTCCATTAGGTATGAACTAATTCAATTCAATCTTAGTTAAATTAATTTAATGCAAATGAAATTTTATTTGCTCTTACTCCCAAAATTAGGCAAGGACGATTATAAATTTCATTTTAAAAATGAGAACAGCACAGCAAAGAATTGCCTATTGCTAAGAACATTATGGTTCCTGATAATAAGTTCTTCCGCTTCATCAGTGATGTTATTCATAACACATTCTAATTCAAGAAGAAAAATGATAGAGACATATAGCTTTTACATATTCCGAACAATATCGTTTTGAAGCCATTTACTAATCTTAATTAATCTTTTGGATGAGTTTTGTTCCACTGAGTTTAATATTTCATCACAATAAGTTACTTTTTATTTGGCAAGCACAAGCCGCACAAGCTCCAGCCTTCAAAGTAACATCAAGCAAGTACATGAAAGAAAAAAAAAAAACTTTATTGAATATTTTTTCTGCTTTTGCTTTCTTCCAATGAATCGATGACATTAGGAAGAAAGCAAAGGCAAAAAAAAAAAAGGCTTTATTGAATATTTTTCCAAGCCTTTAGTGATAAATTTTAATGATTAGATTCCTTTTGCTTTCCACCCACATGCTACTCTCCTAAATTTATTTTACTTTAATATCATTAAAGTAAATAGCAGTCCAGTCCCCACCTTCCAAAGTCCAGAGAAATATGATGATAAAGAAACGTAGCATAGATAAGTCCAAATTTTATCACATTTCTTCCGACATCTAATTTTAGCCAGCTTGATGGCCTTTTTAATCAAAACCAATTAGTATTTAGAGAGTAAATAGAGCCACCATACATTATCTTTTACGCTAAAGGAAATAAATAGAAGAATAGATAACCAAATAGAACAAAAAATAAAAAAGAGAACATAAGGAATGTGAGCAATCTTCTACAAGGTGACTGACTTTGATTTTTTAGTAAAGATAAGCTTTCCAAGGAGGAGGGGAGATATGTAATGCCTTGAGCCTTTAAAATTTCAGCTTACCATACCTTCTCTAAGATTAATATGTTAGAATTCAAATGGGTATATAATCAATGTTAATGCATCAATTTTTTGACTATAAAATCAATTCTCCATTATAAAATTCACTTCTTCACATAAGAAATTGAGCATGGCATCTATAAAAGGAATCTGCTGCGGTACTGCTTATTGTAATTCTTTCCCTCTCATTAATTTAGGAGTGGCATGTGGATCTACAATGCAAAGTGGCAGGCAAGGCTATCTTTTTGCATGTGATGTGCTTTTGGAGCTTTGCTAAAAAGAACAAATGTTCTCTTTCTGATTTCAATTTCACTTTTTTTTTTTTTGAGAAAATTAGGGGCAAAGCTTATTCATTAACTAAAGAAAGAACAAGATAATTAAAATTAATAGGTAAAAGTAAGAAGGCAAAAAGAGAAAACAGTGCTCAGGCAAAAATAATTGAGCAAAGGTTCAAAAAGAAATAGGCCAAAGGCTGTCTAACAAATTATGTCAGCATAAAATGCGAGAAAAGAGCCAAAATATAAAGTAAAATGCCAGGACTCAGGATCGATAAGAATTCAACCGCTAAAATCAGATAAAATTGGCACCCTTGTTGCCCGAAGACCGTCCAAAGAGAAAACCATGAAGGGTATGCATCATCGTCCATGGCATCAAAACACCCATCCATAAAATCGAAACAGAGAGCAGCAGCAGCAGCGAATCGAAGGCAACAGAACCCATAGAAAATAGCCGATTCAAAACATAAACCTAACGATAGATAAGAGGAGCAGTTGGCATACAACCCAAGGGTAACCAAGCCCACCACGATAAAAACATCCAATAAACCAAACTGACAGCAACAGAAAGTCCATGAGCCACCCAACACAGCAAAGAGACATGAAAAACCGTCAGTACAGCCAATGCATCCACCAAGGATATTAAAATTAGCAAACTGATATAAATTTGGACGCAATAGAAATGATTTTAGGCAAGTCATGAGGTCAGTGATAATAGAGTAACTGTTGTCACATTAAAAAAAGGGGTGTAATGAACTTTCAGATTTAGCATAGCATAAACAGCATGAAGGGTCCACAGGAATATTTCTCTTAATCAGCTCATCAAATGTTTTGAGCCCACCAACCAAGCTCAGCCAGCCATAGACAGAAAAAAGAGTGGCAGCTTACTTATGCCAAACAGTTTTATACCAAGACACCTCCCACTCATTCGAGTAGAAATCGAGTAAATAGCCACCAAAACACCCAATCCTCCCATTTTTTCATAACAGACCAGCAGCATCAATATGAAGGGGAACAGAGACAATAAGTTTTAGGATGGGATCTTGAACAGCCACTGGAAATTTCCAACCATTAGAATCCAGAATAACCAAGAGAGGAGAATCCGAAGAGAAATCATTAATGATAGAAGAGTTATGAGGGAGTTCAGATAAGCACACCCCATTACACCAATGATCCCACATTAGAGAGATAGGGGAATTAGCAATCACATTAAAGACAAAGCTCCCTTCCGCATAAATAGCAGTATCACATATACTTCCACAATTTTTTGTGGAAGAAAATCCCACATTAACCAAAGTAGCTAAGAAAAAGAACTAACCAAGCAACCATCTAGCAGAAAAATATTCAAATACCTGCAGCGGAAAATTCCAAAAAAAAGGTCCACCAGTTTGAACGCCATTACTATGAGTTGCAATCAAGGACTTTTTTTTTTTTTTTGGGAAAAATTATTGGGACTAGCCCAAATTTCTTTAAATTAAAAAAGGAATTACAAACATACCTCCAAAAGAAGGCCAAAACTAAGACCACAAAGCTTTAATCACCAAAATAAACTACAGATTGCAAAGCAAACTCAAACAGACAAAATAACCTAAAATTTAGTCATCATCTAGGCAGCGAAAATAACCAAAAATCAGTGAAAAAGGCCATGAGGCCTATCAAACTCAGGAAATGACAGGAGGCTTCCTGCAAAACCAACAGAAAAGTTTGTCACCCGATTGCCAGGCAAGGGCCATCCATTGGAGGCAGCAGCAAAAAAAACATACAGATGATAACAACAAGAGAATGAAGCAGCAAGAAGTCACAAATCCCAAACAAAGGCCACCTTTGTCCGACCAAAACGAGAGAATCAACCACCAAGGTTGCCAAAGCAAGCCATGGCTATCCAGGGCGTGCAGGAATCCTACCTCACCCTTGTCCAACCAAAACGATCTACCTAGCATACAAAAGTACCCAGCAGCAACAATAACCACAAATAGAAGTCCAGTCCCAAAGTCCAGAGAAGTATGAGGATAAAGAAAATTAGCATAGATGAGTCCAAAACTTATCACAATTCTTCTGATATCTAATTTTATCCTTGATGGCCTTTTTGATCAAAAACCAAACAGCATTCAGAGAGGAGATAGAGCCATCATACCTTCTCATGTTTCTTTCACGCCAAAGGAAATAAATAGAAGCACATATAACCAAATAGAGAGAATAAAAATTGTATCCATAGAGAGGCGGGAATTACCATTGATGCCATTGAAACCCTATATAATGTTAGATCTAAGCAAGAAAATAGCAGCCCCAGAAAAAAGAGTTTTCAAAGTACTAAAAGAGAGATCATACTTGAAGAAGAAGTGAGAAGCAGTTTCAAGATTACAATTACAAAAAAGAAGGTGAGCAAGAATGTTCTTGGAGATAAGTTGGTCAGCCGACAGTGCCACAAAAAAATCTGAGACATTCACTAGACAGAAACAAAAACCCCACAAAACTAATAGATGTAGTTGAAACAAAAAACTCCACTTAAATCATAAATATTCACAACAAATTATTAGAAGATCACCTGTAGCATTAGAAGATTAATTTGAGGCAGGAGTAGCTTAATTGAAGATTGATGTTTGTTTCCTTGCTTAATTGAACTGGAGCTAATTGACTGCCCGAAGTTGAAAGAGTTGCCCCAATTGCCTCCTAAGCTCAAGAGCTTGAAGATAGGAATTATGAGGTGGAAGACTTGGAATTTTTGTAACATTTCAAATTCTATTCCCCTTGAAACATTAGAGGTCTCTCGCTACCAAAATATCACAACTTTTCCTCTAGCTGATGAAATAGCAAAAGACTCGCAGCACTAAGATACTTGAAAATTAAAAATTGCCTCAATCTGATCTCTCTCGGAAGACATCGAGAAGTGCAGACAACTAATAATTGCTATCTCATACTCAGCGGTTTCAATATAAGTGAACCATCAGTGTTGCTAATGGATCCATTGAGAAGTATCGCCTCCTTAAAAAAGTTTAGTATTGAGGAAAATGATGAGCTGGTTTCATTTCCAAATAAGGTGGTTTCTGAAAGTTAGAAAGTTGGTTCATGTCTTGTGAGCTGAAATTTGAATAGCTTAAATCCTTACAGTCTCTCCCATCCTCCTTGGAAAGCTTATCTTCACTTCAGAAATTACGTGAAGATGATGGTTCCTCAGCTCCAGCAGCTGAGGAACATCCTCGCCTCTCTAGAGCAATTAAATCTTGTCCGTCTCGAATCATTGGAGTACCTGAATTCTTTGCTTCCTACCCATTCTTCTCTCCACTCAACAAACCTTCCTCATTGAAATTTCTAACAATTCGTCAGTGTCATCCAGAGTTAAAAGGAGCGCATTCGAATGAATGGAGTTTCTGATTGGCACAAGATTGCTTGCATTCCTCATATCCAACTGCTTTAAGGAAAATTTTCAAAATACATAAGCAAACTTCTTTCTATGAATTTTGAATGATAAGTCATCTTTAGCCTATGATTTTTTTTCTTTTTGATAATCCATATTTATTGTATCTATATTTATATATGCCACTAAGCCATCATTAAAATTTTTGCAATTTCAACAACTTTCGTATTAATTTTCTTTATTGATTTATTTATTTTTAAGATACATGCAACCTCATTTGTACTTTTTAATAAAGGTGTAGGAGTTAATAAAAAAAAATGGGGAAAAACTTAAATTTCATCGGGATGATTTTTATAGCTATTACATTATTTTGAGATAAATATATTATCAAATTAGGCTCCTATTGAATTCATTTTATTATTGGGGTTGAAGCTTAAGACCATAAATAATCTAAATTGACCTTAATACTATCATATTCAAGTTAATTCATTTATTTTCTTATCAAATTTGAATCAAATTTAAACATTAACTGACTTTAAATCTTATTCAAACTTATTTATAATTCTTTCCAAATAAGTTTTCTTTTCAAGTTTATGTCAAAAACGATATTTAACAAACCTCAATTAATGTGTATTTAATTCTAATAATATAAATATATAATTCAATTACCAAAAGCGATATTCTGATAGAGGTCTTTGAAATTACAGCTGCAGCTCTTTGTATATTAATTCGTTAGATTATTGCTTGGTTTATTTTTCTTTTTCTTTGGTTAATGTCTGATTATTATTGCTACAGAAGTTTGTCAAATTGTCTTTGTTCTAGTTGATATTTACCGATGGTTGCATGTTAATAAGATTAGTTGGACTATCTACAAGTGGTCCTCTAATGATTTTCTTTAAAATAACTGCTGGTTTAGGATGACTGCTGGTTTATCTACAGGTGGTCTTATTGCAAATATCCTGATTAAAAGTTTCACAGTACCAAAACAAGAAAAGACAATGCAAATATTTAAACCTCCCAATCTTTCTTAAGATTGCCTAGATTTGTAGTTGGAATAGACAAGTGTTGAAGGTCCCAAGAATTACAAGAGGCAACTCTTCATCACCCACTACTTTGAGGCATTCCTGTGCAAAAATATTATGTGCGAACTCATGTAGTAAATCATGCATCTTGTAGTATTCTAGATTATTGTAGTATCCTAAATCTTCAAACTAGTCAAAGAAAGATTTTTTGACTAAAATATCAAAATTCCTTCCTCCGATATTCTCAATAGCCTCTCCTTGAATATGAGGCGGCCGAATAAAACCCAATGCAATCCACATTCGGGCGAAATCATCAGTATTGAACACATGATTTTGTGGAAATATTGAACATAATGCAAAACAAATTTGTAGAGGATTTGGCAGACATATATAGCTTAGTCTTAAGACAAATATAACTTAGTCTTAAGACATATATAGCGAATCGAACGCAACAGAACCGATAGACAAAATTCCATTCAAAACAAAAACCAGTAACCTCCAGATCATCAACGATAGATAAAAGTATGAAGGAAATAAATCATGCCAACAGCAGCAGTTGGCATACAACCCAAGGGTAACAAAGCCCACCACGATAAAACTGACAGCAACAGAAAGTCCATGAGCCACCCAACACAGCAAAGAGATATGAAAAACCGTCAGTGCAGCCAATGCATCCACTAAGGATATTAAGATAAGCCATAAAGCATATGTTTGAATTTTTCCCCATTCTTCCAACTAGAATTTTTTTTTACAATACGAACAGTGACTTTGCTACAATACTTATTGCCAAATTTTATTGCATTCCTCTCCTTCCATAAGTGATAGACAGAATACCAAAGCAAAAGCGGGTAAAAGGAAGACTTACTCGGCAGTGAAATGTTCACTTCACCGAAAAAAATTAGCAAACTGATATAAATTTGGATGCAACAGAAATGATTTTACGCAAGGCATGAGATCAGTGATAACAGAGTAACTGTAGTCACATTAAAAAAAAGAGGTGTAATGAACTTTCAGATTTAGCATAGAATAAACAACATGAAGGGTCCACAGGAATATTTCTCTTAATCAGCTCATCAAATGTTTTGAGCCCACCAACCAAGCTCAGCCAGCCATAGACAGAAAAATGAGTGGCAGCTTACTTGTGCCAAACAATTTTATACCAAGACACCTCCCTCTCACTCGAGTAGAAATCGTGCAAATAGCCACCAAAACACCCAATCCTCCCATTTTTTCATAACAGATCAGCAGCATCAATATGAAGGGGAACAGAGACAATAAGTCTTAGGATGGGATCTTGAACAGCCACTGGAAATTTCCAACCATTAGAATCCAGAATAACCAAGAGAGGAGAATCAGAAGAGAAATCATTAATGATAGAAGAGTTATGAGGGAGTTCAGATAAGCACACCCCATTACACCGATGATCCCACATTAGAGAGATAGGGGAATTAGCAATCATATTAAAGACAAAGCTCCCTTTCGCATTAATAGCAGTATCACATATAATTTCACAATCTTTTGTGGAAGAAAATTCCACATTAACCAGAGTAGCTAAGAAAAAGAACTAACCAAGCAACCATCTAGCAGAAGAATATTCAAATACCTGCAGCGGAAAATTCCCAAAAAAAAAAAAGGCCCACCAGTTTGAACGCCATTACTATGAGTTGCAATCAAGTATTTTTTTTTTTAAAAAAATTATTGGGACTAGCCCAAATTTCTTTAAATTAAAAAGGAATTACAAACATACGCCCAAAAGGAGGCCAAAACTAAGATCACAAAGCTTTCATCACCAAAATAAACTACAGATTGCAAAGCAACCTCAAAAAGACAAAATAACCGAAAATTTAGTCATCATGTAGGCAGCAAAAATAACCAAAAATCAGTCAAAAAGGCCATGAGGCCTATCGAACTCACGAAATGACAGGAGGCTTCCAGCAAAACCAACAAAAAAGTTTGTCACCCGATTGCCAGGCAAGGGCCATCCATTGGAGGCAGCAGTACAAAAAAATCATGCAGAGGATAACCACAAGAGAATGAAGCAGCAAGAAGTCCCAAATCCCAAACAAAGGCCAGCATTGCCCGACCAAAACAAGAGAATCAACCACCAAGGTTGCCAAAGCAAGCCATGGCTATCTAGGGCGTGCAGGAATCCTACCTCATCATTGTCCGACCAAAACGATATTCCTAGAATACAAAAAGTACCCAGTAGCAACAATAACCACAAATATAAGTCCAGTCCAGAAGTCCAGAGAAATATGAGGATAAAGAAAATTAGCATAGATGAGTCCAAAACTTATCACAATTCTTCCGACATCTAATTTTATCCTTGATGGCCTTTTTGATCAAAACCAAACAACATTCAGAGAGGAGATAGAGCCACCATACCTTCTCATGTTTCTTTCACGCCAAAGGAAATAAATAGAAGCACAATAAGAGTTGACTGCCTGAAGTTGAAAGAGTAGCTTAATTGAAGATGGATGTTTGTTTCCTTGCTTAATTGAACTGGAGCTAATTGACTGCCTGAAGTTGAAAGAGTTGCCCCAATTGCCTCCTAAGCTCAAGAGCTTGAAGATAGGAATTATGAGGTGGAAGACTTGGAATTTTTGTAGCATTTCAAATTCTATTCCCCTTGAAACATTAGAGGTCTCTCGCTACCAAAACATCACAACTTTTTCTCTAGCTGATGAAATAGCAAAAGACTCGCAGCACTAAGATACTTGAAAATTAAAAATTGCCTCAATCTGATATCTCTCGGAAGACGTCCACATCGAGAAGTGCAGACAACTAATAATTGCCATGTCATACTCAGCGGTCTCAATATAAGTGAACCATCAGTGTTGCTAATGGAGCCATTGAGAAGTATCGCCTCCTTAGAAAAGCTTAGTATTGAGGAAAATGATGAGCTGGTTTCATTTCCAAATAAGGTGGTTTCTGAAAGTTAGAAAGTTGGTTCATCTCTTGTGAGCGGAAATTTGAACAGCTTAAATCCTTAGTCTCTCCCTTCCTCCTTGGAAAGCTTATCTTCACTTCATAAATTACGTGAAGATGATGGTTCCTCAGCTCCAGCAGCTGAGGAACATCCTCGCCTCTCTAGAGCAATTAAATCTTGTCTGTCTCGAATCATTGGAGTACCTGAATTCTTTGCTTCCTACCCATTCTTCTCTCCACTCACCAAACTTTCCTCATTGAAATTTCTAACAATTCGTCAGTGTCATCCAGAGTTAAAAGGAGCGCATTCGAATGAATGGAGTTTCTGATTGGCACAAGATTGCTTGCATTCCTCATATCCAACTGCTTTAAGGAAAATTTTCAAAATACATAAGCAAACTTCTTTCTATGAATTTTGAATGATAAGTCATCTTTAGCCTATGATTTTTTTTCTTTTTGATAATCCATATTTATTGTATCTATATTTATATATGCCACTAAGCCATCATTAAAATTTTTGCAATTTCAACAACTTTCGTATTAATTTTCTTTATTGATTTATTTATTTTTAAGACACATGCAATCTCATTTGTACTTTTTAATAAAGGTGTAGGAGTTAACCAAAAAAAAAATAGGGGGAAAACTTAAATTTCATCGGGATGATTTTTATAGCTATCACATTATTTTAAGATAAATATATTATCAAATTAGGCTCCCATTGAATTCATTTTATTATTGGGGTTGAAGCTTAAGGCTATAAATAATCTAAATTGACCTTAATACTATCATATTCAAGTTAATTCATTAATTTTCTTATCAAATTTGAATCAAATTTAAACATTACCTGATTTTAAATCTTATTCAAACTTATTTATAATTCTTTCCAAATAAGTTTTCTTTTCAAGTTTATGTCAAAAACAAGATTTAAAAAAACTCAATTAATGTGTATTTAATTCGAATAATATAAATATATAATTCAATTACCAAAAGCGA